TCTGGTCGTACCTGGTGGCGAGACTTCGGCAATGTACAGCGGAACTACAGTAAGCACAAGTGCGATCGTGAGAAAGGAGTAGAAGCGACGTCGAAGTACGTACTTGTCAGCGACGAGAGACCAAGGCCAAGACCGACGCTGAGCCGGCCGAAATGAGTTCGTACTTGGTTTGGGCGAAACCCATGAGCGCACTGCCAATAGCAAAGAGAACGGCCGAGATCAAAATGACACGGCGGCGACCCCACGCGTCGTTGGCACAGCTCCCGGCCGCGGCGCCGAGGATCGCGCCAAAAACGGTGGCCGACACGACGACTTCCGACTGGAACGAGTCAAGGTGGAAATCTTCTTGGAGGAAAATGAGTGCGCCCGAGATGACGCCGGTGTCATAGCCAAAGAGGAAGCCGCCGGTCGTCGAAACAAGGGTGAGAAGCTTTAGGTTGCCGGCGCGCCCCATGACGATCAAATTGGAAACTGCCATTGGCTGTATTTCCCGAGGATATCCGCCAGGAACGGCCACGGATTCGCAGACACCTGCGAAAATACGCGACATTCGACCAATCCAACCACCTGGTGTGAGGCATGAAATAGTGTGAGCGTATAGAAAGACACAATAATGAGCCACATACTATTTCAGTCGCTGGATCAATGACGTGCAAATAGACACGGTGCCTTCGACCCACCCAGCATGACGCCATAAGCTTGACAACGCCGTCGTGTACGGCAGTGTGTAGCACCATCGCGTTCTATTCGTCTTTTCTATAGAATACGAACGGCGGTTTGCCTCTACTACGCACACCCAGGTGCTAGGATGTGCTGGTAACACGGTGCTATCCATGAAGACTAGTGACACGCCACTGCAACGTGTGCCTGTCCAAGGCCCTCGATAATGCCGCAGCAGTCAGCTCCCTGCAATGATAGCATCGATATCTCACTGTCAATGATCTTCATCTTTTTGCGATGCTGCACCAGTACGTGACGCAATGGTACCATTCCTAGCGAGGCTCACGGCGTCGACGCGGCTAGCTGGCAACTCGAGCTCAGAACCACCGGCACTTCACCGGTCGGACAGGAGCGGGTACGTTGGTCGTCGCTTGACAGGGCGTTCTCAGATGAAATTATTGCCATGGCAGCCTTCAGCTTTGCAAGCTCCAGCCTTTTGCTCCCGGATCAAGAATGGGCAACAGCTATGATAGCTACGGCATGGGAACCCGTTCATGTCGTGTTGTTATCCGTACGACTGGAACCTCAAATTCGCCGTTAGCTACTTGAGAACATACTGGACAAATGCATGCCAGGAGCTACCGGTACCGGTACAATCAAACTCAGGCCATCGTACATGCCAAGCCGATGGGTGGCAACGACGCTTTGGGCTCGAGATCCTCCGGGCGCTGGGCTCGAATTTGAATGATCTTGAGCCCATCATCGATTAGTTGGCGTTTTTCATAAGCCGGTCGTTCTTTATCTCGCTGGGCTAGACACCAAGTGAGGCCAACGACACCAAACACCAAGACATCGAGAAAGACCACCGACATCGCTAATTCGCCACCATGGCCTCGCCTTGAATGTATCGATGAATGTGTTTCGCGTTATCATCGTTATGCGTAGAGACTTGCTATCTCCATCTTCGTCATCATTCGCTTGCCGGGCCGTTCAGGCGCCAGCGCTGGCTGGCTCGCCTTGTTCTTCTCTAGTCGCCCGGGGCGCTTGTGGCCGCGGGTGAGGCCCACAACGACTCGCTGTGTAAAAGCCTTCCACGCTTTGCCGTCGGCGGCAAAGCTACACAGTTGGTTGAGGCCCTCGAGAGACGCCAGCGACCGAGGCGGCTTTTGGAGGTCGCGGTGCAAGACGATCGGCAACGTAATTGTGGTGCGGCCTAGACAACTGAGTGCATCGGGCACGGCGAAGAAGCGGGCAGAGGCAATGTTGGCAGGGACGCCTCTCTTCACGCGCAGCACGTGGCCCAGCAGGCGCTAGCGCTGGCGGGCAACGATCTCGCTCGGCGGTCGTAGAGCGCGACGTCGACGAGCATGGCCTTGGCTTGTGCAGAAAAAAAGACGCTGTGCGACGACGGAAGTAAGCGGATGCATCAATTCTACGTTCATATGAGCTGCTCGCCTGCGTTTCCCGATGCTTCCAACGGCACCCTTGCTGCCAAGGTCGCCACATCCGAGGCGGTTGAAGCTGGCTCAGGCCAAGTGGCAATGCGGCGGATTATCCGGTTTGTACGGTAAACATGGGGACCGGCGACAAGGTCCGGCGCCTGCGCGAGGAGCTCGCGGCCACGGCGGCGCGGCAGGCCGACGCCCTCTCGAGCCTCGAGCGGTATGCGACTGCAGATGCCAATGTCTCGTCCATCAAGCGGCAGATCTCTGGCGAGCAGCCGCCAGCCAACGCCAAGGAGG